AAGATACTGTGCAGAACCCTCAAACTCCCAGGCCTCTGGTAGAGGACCTGAGATTGAGGAATACACATACCACCCATAGGGGTGAGAGGGGAATTTTTTTGTATATATGTATGTAGCAAAACAAAACCTTACAATGCCTTGCCCCCTATTATTTCAGCCTGAGGTATTATGCAGCACACCAGGCACTCCAGGCTACCTCCAGCAAGTTAGGAGGGAAATTAGCAGTCCTTCAGTGAACAAGGGAAATGTGAGTATCTGTTGTAGCAGGTGGACTTTTCTATAAGTACCCATAAGCTTGTGGCAGGAAGTAGATAATTCCATTTCATGGCAGTGATGTCTGCTCTAGTTTTTCTGATATGGGGAAAAAATATGGATGATGCTTTCCAGAAGCAAATTGTAGGTATTTCTAAGGGTCATGCAGGGATGGGATTGTAATTAACCCAATATCTATTGTAAGCAAATTCTTCCAAGCATGACTAGTTTTGCTGATAACTTTCTCCTTCAAAGAGTAGACAAATGCACAAGATTATTAGCTATGCTTGAATTTTTAAAAGTTTTAAAAGTTATTTTTGCTTTATTTATGTAATGGAACAGAGAATACTAAATATCTAAAAATAAAATAAATACAATGACAAGAAATGATGTGTATATAAGGGCTTCTTATGCATATATCGTGTGTGTGCGTGCATGCACACACACAACAGTTTCAGTAAAAGATAAACATATTTAGTTATAATTGTCTATGCATAATTTATGTCTATAGGCAATTCATTTTTAAGATGCAAGTAATATCAGGGTTTCAATTCACTGAATAATTGGGGACATAAATTTGTCTTTCTCATATGGAAGAACTAATTTCTTGACAATAAGGGCACAGGGAATCCATTTCCATTGTCTAGCTGTCAATTTCTATGAAGTAGGTATGTAGATCAAAAGAACATTTGGATCAGAAAATATGAAACTAGTTTCAAACAAAAATACATGTAATTAATTCTTACCAGAATATAACTTTGGGACATTTTGAAAACATATCTTTTGTTGAAGCAGTATTCTGGTTGTATCTCCAACAGCTCAATTATTTATTCATTCCTTTTTGGTACAATAGGGTCTAATAAGTCCAGAATATTACTTTTTGTTGTATAAGCTAGAATCTAACATTTAATTAGGTTTTTATTATTAAGGTTAATACATTTTCCCATTGTTTAGATAAAATGAGGACTCCAGTTTATTATTCCATTCAGTTTTTAAAGTTTGCATATCAAGTTGTTATTTAAATTTGTATACTGCCCAACTCCCAATGGGCGGTTCACGAGTAAACAACATTAAAAGGAATAAAGCAATATAACGAGAAACAAAGAATAAAAGTTGGCAAACTGAACGGGAGCAAAAACAAACCCACACCACCTAAAGGGCCCTTCAATCACCTTTGCCAAAGGCCTGAGGGAAGAGCCATGTCTTCAAGGTCCGTTGAAACACCAGCAAGGTGGGGACCATCCGGATCTTGGGGGAACCCCATTCACCAAATAGCATATTATGATAATAGAGATTGATTATAGGCTTTTCAATCTCATAGCATTTAATGATTCATTCTAATAACTTAGGTCTTTCTGGTCCAAATCAAGATGTCAGTAAGTGTTGTTCTGGTAAATATTGCCAATGTGTGGCAACTGACAAGTGGTATTTATTTTTTTAAATAGAAAATTATAAAAACTCATTGTTGCCATCCACTATTTGATCTGATGTAAAGATTCCAGCATCCATCCACCTCTTTCTTAAAACTTTTTTAAAATCAATGTTAAGACCTGGATTACCCCATAACATCCATTTAGCATCAGAAAAAGGTTCAAAACACATTTTTCCAGAAATAATATACCACTGTTTTTTAATTGATGCAGTAGTAACAGGAGATATAGCAAATCTATTACAATACTTTTGAACCCAAAACAATTCAGTTAATTAAAGGTGTTATAAATATTCCTAAAGGACCTAGAATGGAGAATTTGGACCAAGTGAAGACATCCAAAATGTGGCACTAGGTATAATTCAAGATTTGGAAAACCAATGCCCCACCACCCATCTTTAACTAATAATTTAATCTTTTTCAAAGTTATCTTCAAAGTGAGGAACCTGATAGAAATTTACAAAGCCATGTATTTTTGAAAAATATTTTCTGGATATGTAAATAAAAATTCCATGCAAAATATAAAATATCCAAGGAATTACATTCATTTTAAAAGTGTTTATCCTGTCCAGAGAGTAATGTTTGATGATTCCTGATGATACACTGAATACGAATAAGATATAAAAACAGATTTCTCTGGACATTGATACTCATCAATGTCCAGAGAAATCTGTTTTTATATCTTATTCGTATTCAGTGTAATTATTTGAGAAATACCACTTGGAATGAAAATACCTAAATAACTGATAATAAAATATCATCAGCATAAAATATTTATATTCAAATTAGTTGTACAAAAATCCATGGTTATTATAAACTTGTCTAATAGCATAAGCTAATGGTTCTAGACAAAGATTAAGAGAGACAGTAAAACATCCTTGTCTAATACCTTTATAAAATTGAAAATTGAAAAATGCTATTAACATTAACTTTGGATTTGGGACCTCATGCAGAATCTGGACTGACTTTATAAAATCTTTAGGAAATCCACATTTGGCTAAGCTAATATGGATATATTGTCTGAAAATTGTATCAAAGGCTTTTCCAGATCTACTGATAGAATTGCAGGTTTGTTTTCTTTAATTTTATTCAAATGAATCAAATATACTACTAGCTAAATGTTATCTGATCCATGTCTGGTTTTGATAAAACCCACTTGCTCATTTATAACAATTGAAGAGATTACTTATTGAAGTCTATTAGCTAAAACAGCAGTTAAATTTTCAGTATTTACATTAATCAATGATTTAGGATGATAATTTCCACATAATATATGCTCTTTATCAGGTTTTGGTATAACTAATATATGGCTCATTAAAGGAAAAAGGAAAAATTCCATTCTCAAAGATCTCATATTGTTAATAGAGTTTAGGAGCAAGAATATCGATAAATGTTTTATACCATTCCATAGGAAAGTTATCCAGTTGTGGTGCTGTATCGTTACTCTTACTCCAAATCAATTTTTAATCTCATCTATGGTCAAAAGAGTGAGTAATAATTATTGTTGTGAGGAATTCAACAGCTAAAGATCAGTTTTAGCTTAAAAAGCCTTTATATCCATCAGCTAAGTTCTCAGGGTTACTAATATCTGAGTAAAAATTTAAAAATTGAAATTTATGTCCACAATGGAGCAATATCTTATTGTTCCCGTTTTAATGGCTGGGTCATTCATTCATATTAAGATGATTTGCTACAATCCTATCAGGTCTTTCTCCATTGTCCCAGTATTTTTGACATAAACATGTTAAATAAATTCAAATTGTTGTGATATTATATTCAACTGATGTTTAGTATATTATATCTCCCTTATAGGTTGGTAGTGGGACATCTGGCCATCTGTGTCCAAAGAGTTTTCAATTTGTCTCTCAAATTGTATTTATTTTTTAGTTTTTTCCTGTATGATGCATATGCAATAATAGACTATGCATATATGTCTCATAAGCCTCCCATTCCAGAATTAAGGAACCAGATTTCCTGCATTAAATTCAAAGTATTGCAATGTCTCAAAACCCATCTGCTTTATAAATTCACTATCATTCAATAGAGAGGCATTAAAACACCAGCTTCCAGATGGTTTAGTAAATTGTTGTAGTTGTAAATTTAGGCTGGTTGGACTGTGATCTGATATATAAGAGATGTCAGTTGTGCACATTTGAATTTGATGAAATAAAATTGAAGAAATAAAAAAAGACAAGTCTAAAAATATTCTGATGCACCACTGAGTTAAAAAAATGTACTTTGGGATGTAGCAAATGCCAGGGATCATTCAAATTTAATTCATCGATATAAGATCTAATTGTAGTTTTCATTAATAATGATCTTTTACAGGTGGGTATATTCCTATTTAATTCAGCATCTAATATCTTGTTATGATCATATTATTGTAGTATAAGATTTTAAGAGTTATTTAAATAATGAAAACACTCATGGAATATGGTGGGGAAGTCTAAATTAGGACCATAAACCTTTGATCATAACCATAGTTGGAAACAAACAAATGGATCATCAAACAAATCAATCAATCACTAGAGGCACAAATGACAAGGCTCAAGTTATTCTACATTGGACCCATTATGCAAAGACCTAGCTCTCTGGAGAAGGCTCTAATGCTGGGAAAGGTGGAAGGAAAGAGAAGAAGGACAACCAGCAGCAAGGTGAGTGGACTCAGTTACAGTGGCAATGGCTGTACCATTGGAAGACCTGAAAGACCAGGTTAGGGATAGATTGTCATGGAGAAAATCTGTGTGGTCTCTAAAAGTCGACACTAGCTTGATGGCACATAATCAAAAAATGAGAGGAAAACATAAAATCTAATTTCTTGCAATAATACACAGGAATTGAACAATAACATTTAACTTGTCCCCTGATTTTTGCATAATGGAGATTTTGTTCACATGTTCAATTTCAATTAAAGAAGTCCGTAGTCACAGAAATATCTCTTTAAAAAATTATCCATAAATTCAGTCAAGCGAGTTTAAGAATGTTCTCAATGCCAATCGCAAGCAGCCGAGACTCCAGGAGACTAATGTGATTATTCAAACCCTAAAACTAGCCTGCACCACCATCTCCCAGGCTTTCATTTGATCTTCCAGATTATAGGAATGTTATTAGTTTCTGTAATTAGTGTTTGAAGACAAGTGATAGACTCTTGGATTGCTTTTGAAATCTTTAACTGGCAAAGAATCTCTTTTATTACATTGGCTGGAAGGTCTTCCACTTTTGAAACCACAGATAGGGATGACATAGCTGATGCTGGAGCTGCAGTGGGAGGTTTCTTGACTCTAGGTGAGCAAAATAATCAGCTACAGTGATCTCAATAAGTGCAGAATGTAAATATGCTTAATTTACTGGTTTGATTAAATATTGTTCCTACAGTGTGGGATTTCACGTACTGTAGTTTAAGGAGAAAATAATCAAGAAAGAAGAGCGATGTCAGCTCGCCATTTCCAACAAGAGTATTCTTAACTTAATTCTAACAAATATGGAAGAATTAGTGAAGTAGAAGTAGCAGAAACAATGGAGGAAAGTGACCATAAAATGGTAGAATTCTGGATGTTATAGGAAACTAAAGTTCAGTTTAGTTGATTGCATAAGTTGGACTTAAGAAAAGCAGTTTTCAATAACTGTAGAACAGTGAAAATTATAAATCTATGGCAGGACTGCTGAGCTCATGATAGGTGGGAGTTCTCTCAATTGCAATTGCAAACTACTTCAACCAGGGGGGGAAAAAAAAAGAGGAAGACAGCAAAAGAAGAAAAGATGGTGATAGAAAAGCTTAATGAAGATTTGAAAATGAAAAAAGACACGTGGGAGGATGTGGAAGTCACCGTGGAAAACTACATAGCAACAACTTGGAATGGTAGAGATGTGTGTCAGAGGGACCAAAGCTCCAACTGAGTTGAGTTTGGTGAAAGATGCCAGGAACAGCAAAAAGGGTTTTTTCAGATGTTGTTGTTGTTCTTCAGTTGTTAAGTCGTGTCTGACTCTTCATGCCCCCGTGAACCATATCGCGCCAGGCCTTCCTGTCCTTCAC